GTTTCCACACAATAACAAAAACTGTGCAGTTTCTAAGTGCTAAATTTAAATTGTTGTTGATTCATCTATGCGTGCTTCACATATGCTTGTAACTATCTAGCACAGAAAAAATAAAGAATTTTAAAAAAATATATATAAATGGCTTCATATGATCACTATTCTTCAATAAAATAAATCTTTTTGCATGATCAGTCATATTTTCAAAATCAATGCCTAAATTTGACAATTTCTGCCAGGGTATGCAAACTTTTGAGCACAACTGTACATTCAGGAGATTGTCTTCGCTGAATATGTGGTTTTTTTTTATTTGTGGAATTGAATAAAGATTGGAAGTAATATAACTTAGTTTTTTTGTGGCTGTGGGTGAGTCTGTACAGCTGACAATCCTGGATCCCATGTACTTAAAGGGACACTCCAGACACCCAGACCACTTCTGCCCATTGGAGTGGTCTGGGTGCCAACTTCCACTACCCTTAACCCTGCAACTGTAATTATTGCAGTTTTCATAAACTGCAATAATTACTTTGCAGGGTTAGGTCCTCCCCTAGTGGCTGTCTACTAGACAGCCACTAGAGGGCACTTCCTGGTCCGTAGCACAGGTTTTCTGTGCTATAGCATCACTGGACGTCCTCACGCTGTGTGAGGACCTCTAGTGCCACTAATATCCCCATAGGAAAGCATTGAAAAGCATTTTCAATGCTTTTCTATGGAGAGGTCTCCCCAGCCGGCGGGCAGGATCAGTCTCCCCGCAGGCTGACATAATGAAGGGGAGGAGCAGCGGCGGAGGAATAAGCAGCGACGAGGGACATCGTCGCTGCCTTTGGCAAGTGACTGAAGGGGTTTTCACCCCTTCAGCAACTGGGGATGGGAGGTGGGAGGGAGAGGGGACCTGCAGTGCCAGGAAAACAGCTTGTTTTCCTGGCACTGGAGTGTCCCTTTAAGGGACTGATGGGCACTACAGTTTGGTGTGGTACTCTAACCACTCTGTATTTTTTTTATTTATTTTACAGTGTTTTAGGATTTATTTTTTTTTTTTAGATACTTAGATACTTTTTTCCAACAGTTTGTTGCTATATTTCAGGTAATATAGTTGTATCTGCTAGTGGATTAACTCTTTACATCTAGAACACTGCTAGTCTCCCAGTTTGATGTGATCTAAACTTGGGATATACTGCTTCTAGATGCAACCATCAGAAATTATCCACTAAGAAACATATATTTTAAGGCTTTCATTTCTCTAAGATTAGCTTACATATCTAAGTGGGTCCTTATTTTGCTATTTATTCTCTATATAGTTATATTATATATCTAGCCCCTATGTACCTATATATCCCTCTCTAATCGTCCTGGATTACTACTATTCAATTGCAACATTATTTGATACTTAGCTTGCTACTTCTATAATGCAACTTGAATAAGGTTTATAATATTAACTACTTGGATAGATGTATATAAGCCTATTTGATACCTTTTAAAATCAACATTTCTAATATCTTCCCAATTTTATCCCTTTTATTTTTTTTATTTTTTTTTTGCACTTTCACGTTTTATATACCCTTATTTTTTTTGATAGATTTGAATATATTCTTTATTTACACATTTAAATAAAGTTTTATATAATAGCTTCTCTAAGAATTTTAACCGTTGTTAATTACGTTAATATACTTCCTTTGGGTAATCCGTTTCGGTACCTAACTTTTGGAGCAGGTCCACATTCACTCCTTCTCCATTTTAAACAAGTTGACATAAATAGCTTTATTTAAAAAGAGTTGTAATTTTTGTCTATGGGGATCTATTATTCCAAGGGGACAGTTTTTGAGACTTTGAAATTGTACCAGTATAGAGTATACCATATATTAGAACAAACAAGCTGAAAAAGATAAAGAAATAAACAGATCATAGAAGCTGGCATATTTTATTACAAGATAAAGTTTTAAGCAAACATGTGGGAGAGAAACAAAACTCCTTATATAGCAGGGGAATAAGTGTTAAACATGTTTTAACTACCAGTTTTATTGAATAATAAAGATTTTATTATGGAACAGATTAGTATTGAAAAAAAGGTTTCTTCACCTGGTTCCCCTATTAAGCACTATGAAGTCTTAAAGCATAGAATTTAGCAAGACTTACTGTACAGATATCTTGGCTATCATAATATACAGTTAGTACGAGTTCCTCTATTTAAAATATATAAATAATTGGCTAACCAAGGTTGGCAGCTTGGAATGCAGGAGGGCTAGGTGCTGCAATGCACGCTGAGCCCAAAAACGAAGCCTTCATTCTGTGTCATCTTCATTATTTTTTCCATCAGCAGCCGGCTGAGGAAGTGAGTTAAGAAGGACTTCTTGTAGATACTGGGTTCCCGAAAATTATAATTATTATTACTGGCATTTCTATAGCGCCAACATATTCCGCAGGGTTGTACAATTGGGAAAACGACAACACAATCAGAACAGACCGATACAACAGGTAGAGGGCCCTGCCCGTGAGCTTACAATCTAAAGGTTAAACTAGGGAGATGAGACAAGAGGTAGCAGAGGAATTTGTATGTGATGGTAGAGAGAGTTAATGGCATGTAAGGTTTGCATTTACATCAAAGTGTTTTTAATCCCATATTTAATAAATACAGTTTTTCATTCACTTTTTTCTTTTTTTTATGGGGTAAAAATAACAGTAAGAAAATGAAACAAGACAAAAAGGGAAAAACTGTGGTAAACACACCCCACCTCCAACCAAATGTATATGATACATATATATGCTTTGTGGACCCAGGACATACTTGAAAACGAGAGAAATCTCAATGTATCCATCCTGATAAAATATTTTATAAATAAATATAAGGGAACACAGAGCAGAAAAAAATCACATAACATAGTAACTGTTATGTCACAAGTTGAATAATTGTGGAACTCAACTGCAGATTTGAAATTTCCTTATTTCTAATCCTGAAAATTCTTTAATTAAGAAAGTTACTGTAGCTTTAAGGCTGCGTGGGTTTTGCAGGTTGTTAGTTGAAAGCATAAAGCAATAGCAATAGTAACAGAGATGTTGATAACAGTGTTTTAGTAGCAGAGTTTTTTAGTAAGCAGGTTACAGTTCATTAGTAATGCAAAAACCCAGAGAAGGTATTGAAATGAATACTTAGGATTGTTGGGAGTTGTCTTCCAAAGGAAGGTTAGTTTGAGCCTGGAGGTTGGTTAAACTTCTAACAGTCCGGTTCTTGGAAATTGGAGAGAGCAGGGAAGTCAAATATTCGGTCCGTGGTCAGAGGAGATGAGAAGGCAGGAATCTGTTTAAACAGTCCAAGGTTCAGAACACAAAACTTATCGAAGAAGAGCTTAGCCGGCAATGTGATTGCGGAAGTCACAAACAGAAATCACTAAGCCATTTTGAAACTGGCGCGGTTTCTCTATAAAGCATGAGAGAGCCGCGTCAGAGAGGGGGCGGGGACGGTGCGCATACCGTAAATGTCAGAACAGAGCCAATCGAAAAGATAAGTCCTGACAGTAACAAACAGTAGGAGGAAGCATACAGTTATCACATAGCATGTCATCCATGACACCTTAAAACGCAATGTCCCATGTCCCTCAATTAACATTAACATAAAAAATATGATCTGATAGGAGAGAGTCAGAAGAAAAAAAATGAAGGGAAAATGATTTCCAATTAGAGAAAAAAGCATATACAGCAAAGTAAAGGCCAGAGAGACCTTTTGGTTTTTGTACTTCTTCTATCCCCAGCTTTGTATTCCTGGCACTATAGTATCCCTTAAATGCCCTTACCTATTATACATTTATTTCATTAGAGGTATTAAAGAATCTATCAGGCTGTGTTTTAATTTTGCTACAGTATTTTCTTACTTTGTAGCATAAAACAGACCACAACATTGTGATTGTGATTTACACATTTGGTGCCCACACAACCTTTGATTTATTGGGACATTCAACTTGTTTCATTGTAGACTAATTTTATATCTGTATTTTACAGTTACACATCAAATATTCTGTATAATTATTGATTTGCCTATTATGCTGTCTTTTCTTTTTGTTGTTTGTTTGACATCTGATTCATAAGCTCCTGGTCCTAAATCCAGTTTTTAGTCTGGCCTTGCTCTTTTTGTTTTATTTTAAGGTTTAGTATGGTAACCTTTAGACCAGTTTTTCAGTGACATTTATTAGATCTTCCATATCTTCCTTTTATTTGGATTCATAGGGATTTCATGCAGTTTTTTTTCTCTTAGTAGCAGTTATCTATAAGGAGCTTATTTTCATTGTATTTTTCAGGTATATTAAAGTCCACTTTTTCAAAAAATATAGCACAGATTTACTAGTACCGGTGCTTCTACCTCAAAACAGGCCTCCTTCAGCGAGTAGTATGTCCTCTACAGAGGTGACGATTTAAACTCTCTGCTTGTGTGAAGCCATTTCCCAACAAATGGATATTTGACTATTATTTTAAGTATTGTGATTCTCCACTTTTTAACATATTTTTGCATATTATGCAACACATCATTTACAATTATGTAACTTCTCCAGCATTAATCTTTGGAGATTTATAAATCCTTTTCTGATGAGATACAGGCAGTACTTACCAACACATTTCCTTCCCATTCGGAAAAGCGATCTGCTATGCATAATGCATGATAGTAATTTTCTGATTATTTTTGCACCAT